CTCCTCTAGTTTTGGAATATACTGGTTAGGCTTTGTAACCTTGTAACTCCTCTAGTTTTGGAATATACTGGTTAGGCTTTGTGACCTTGAAACTCCTCTAGTTTTGGAATATACTGGTTAGGCTTTGTGACCTTGTAACTCCTCTAGTTTTGATTTTACGCACAAGTATGAGAAAAGAAAGTTTACATAGTTAGATATTAGAAATTCAAAACAATTTGTTTTATCCCGATAGTTTTCCAATAAGAGAAGATATGAATCAAACTTACAAGATTTCAATCTTATTTTTAGTTTGTCGTGAAACACCTCTGCAGTCGTTGAAAACCTTAATAACAAGTCAAGAAACAACTGCATTGAGATAACGGCAGTGATAACCAGAATACTCTGAACTAGGAAGACGACTTTCAGAGTTAAATTATAACTTTAAAAAGTCCAATAAGCATGAGACACGGCAACCGTGCAGATAAACCAGACCCATTTCACGATATGAGTGATTTAAAAACGATCAACAATCAACATGCTTTGTCAAAATCAAGGAAGTATGAAAATAAGTAGGTTAGTTTATCACAATTATCCAGACTGATATAAAATAAAATAAAATAAAATAATTTTTAAAATTTAGATCAAATGTTGCAACCTCATTGGGATTGGTTTAACCGCACTTAATCTTGTCTATACTTTTTTTTGTAGTCCTACATTTGAGAAAATAATTTCATTGCTTTCATAATTTATTAAAAACGTTTTAACCCAAATTTGGATCTAAATCATGTTATCGTGATTTTAATTTAAACATTTTTTTTTATCTTTTCTAAACCTTATTTCTTGGAAATTAAATGTAAAAATATTACTTTTTTAAAAGTATTACTTTATTACTTTTTGAAAATAATTTTTATAAAATTTTCCGAAAAACCAGTTTTTCCACCGAATAAATGTTTGATTTTATTATTATATTAGCATAATAAGAAGTGAATATCTGATTATGATCGATTTTGCAATATCTATTCAATGATTAGTGTCATATTTCATAAAGCTTATAGATATATTTTTTATGATATAGATAAGTCTATTAGTATCTCAGCTAGGAACTATTGTATTGTGGATATCGATTTTTTGTTAATCTGCAGATTAATTTAATCTTTATTCAAATTCCCGCATGGTAATCGTAACAGCCAAGGATTGAAGAGAGGGTTGATCAGGCGAGGAATAACTGAAATGAAGAAACGCTCACAGTGGATATCGAGATCAAGCTATAGTGTTGTATATATCTATATCTATATATATATATATATAGATAGATATATATTTCTAAATTTATATATCTTTTTTATTTCAGCCTCTTCCCCCGCCATCAGAGGATGAGGACACTAGTACTAGTGAAAGTGAGGCTAGTTCCGACATTGAAGACATAACCCCCTTTCAAACCCTATATAAAGGCCCCTTCGACCACCGCCAAGGCAATGTGTGAAATGGTTTTTAGTCCGAACGCCAGAGCAGCCGGAAAATTAAGGATAGCTCATTCGAATTCTAGGGTAAACAGTTATTTTATTTTAAATCTTGAGTTTCCTCCTCCTTGCCTTCCCCCCTTCTTGAATTCTTGGCCTTTTTACTTTATTATTATTATTATGTTCATGAAAGGTATCTATTTAGTTTTAGTGTATTAAGTACTTTTTAGCTTTTCTATTTTGTCGTAACCACCAAATTGTATTCAATAAATAAGTAAAGTATTATTTTTAACTTTGGTAGGCTAATAGGTTAACCTTAGGTAGTTTTGCGAGCAGGAAGTTTTTTGAAGATTGCTAGATTTCGTTAATACCATAATTTGATTGAATATCCTTACAAATAGTTTCAATACCAATAGTGTTTGACTTGAAATATTTAACACATCTGATTTTCGTTAAGTTTGCCTAAAAGATTTGTTAAAACGAAAAATAGATTTAATAGATATTTGGGCAAAGTAAAAATGTTGCAAAATGTAATAAAACCAAACTTATCGAATTTACATTTTTAAAATAGGTTTAACAACCCAATTTCGTAATATATAGACCTTAGATATTTCAAACTATGAATATTCTGCTAGAGCAAAAAATCAAATATTGAAATGCCAAAGGTTTACACCATCAGGTTGCGAAGATATAGGGAGTAGAAAATTTGAGTTTGTTGCAACAAATCAATTTCTTAGCATAAAACTTTCTTAAATTGGATCATACTTGATTTTTCTTGGCTTTAAAAAAGAAAAACAGATCCTTTTTTCGCAATATGTTAGTTTCTAAGATATCTTTTTTAGCATTTATAAATTTCTGGGTGTGTTTTTATCTGAGTATGATATCATATCATTCTTCTAAAGTTTTTAGGTTATAGAGCTATTTTTCAACGTCAGACTTGGCAATGTTTTCTGAGCTGGAAACTTTAGAATGGATACCTTTAATCCCGACTGCTTAATCCGAATATCCAATATGGACACTTTTAATTTCTTGCTTAATCTACTCTTTTTTTTTGGATTTAGTAGAAAAATTTTAAAAAACCGGTCTTTTAAAGTTAGAAAGTCACTCCCGTTTCTGTATATTAATCCTAAATGGCGCGCAAAATTTCAAATTTCCCGGTTTTTGATACGCTACTCTGATTGGTTGAATTGATTATGCACATTTCAGGATACAAGTACAAGATTAGGTTAGTCTCGAGATTAAGAAAAAGAGTGGATCTCTATATCCCCCATTCTAAAGTTTCCAGCTCCGGTGACAAAAACAAATTGTTAGTTTAATTTCATAGTATTTTTTGTAGGAACTCTCATGAGCCAAATAAACGGTCTGATACTTGAAAAAATGAAAAATAAATCTTTTAATGATCTTTTTGAAATTTTCTAGTAAATTGAGGAAGGTATCCCAATATTCTTAGTTGTTGTTTAGCTTAGTTAGGTCTATAACAGAAGGGATGTCAGATATAGATATAAATGTAAAATATTATATAAATTAAGTAATGTTAATGTGTTGATTTGTAACCTCACGGGCAGTATCGATCCACTTCCAAGAATGAACACTTTATAAAATGAATAGAACAGCAATTTCTCCGTGTTTTCTGCTAGTCAGCCTTTTTTTATTGGTCGCAGACACCCAGAGAGAAATTCGGGAAAATCAAAGCACAACAATTGAGTAGAAGAATAGAACCGCGTAGTGCTTTGTTTTTATTATGAACGTGTTTAATAATATAAATAAAGACTGCGTAGACACTTTGAGAACTGTCGGTAAGAAGGTTCAATACAGAATTGGTACACTCTTCGTTTTATTGGTACACTCTTCTTGCCTCAAAAAATTCTGAGTTTGAAATATTAAAATATTAAATCAAGTTGCAAAGATATAGGATATAGAAAGACTCAATTCCTTTAGAAGTTAATGAAGAAAAAAACGACTTTACCTTTTGCCATCGACTGCTGGACAATATGCTCTGTAAGAGGTGTGGCGGGAAAGTCCGCCTCGTCTAGCTCCGACCCCGGGGAGTACTCGTAGGAGGCGGAGGGCGGAGGATAGGAGGTCAGACAAGGCAGAGAGAGAGGTTCAGGTTCAGGGGTTCTCCGCCCCCATAGTTTAGTAAACGAGGACCGTAGGAACCTAAATAAAAACTTTTTAAAGGGAGTATAAGCGTAATTTCAAGTGTCCCTCCATGCAAAGATGGCAATGCCGAATCACATCGGTACCCTTAAAACCTTGTAAATTTAGTTTTTACAATTGTGGTTTTGCTACAAAAGTGACTTGCGCATTTCTACTGAAGGAAAACACAAAAATGATTAGAATCAAACATTTTTAAAAACGACAACATCTTTCATATTATTGATCTGACAAAGGTTTAATTAAAGGGCTCCCTTGCATTGCCATCGTTGGATGGAGAGTAAATTCTATATTTTTATTGATTCTTCAGAACCATTACAAGGAAGTATAGAATAAAAGACCGAATATTTAATGAATGAAAAATATTGAATAGAACTACAGTGAGGTGTATTCAACAACTTGTATTTTCCCAACAATTGGGATTTCTAAAGTTCGATTTTTTATTATAATGCCTTTTTTCATTCGAAAATGTTTTAAAGACTCACTTAAGATTATATAATTTAGCGTCCTCTCACTTTCAGCAGTTACAGATTTTCATCTTTTTTTTAATCCTTTAACCCTGCATAAGAATATTGCATTAAAAAATGACTGAAATTATCCAAATATTCAAGTGAAAAAATAGGAATGAAAAAAATGATTCTGAGAAAATATTCTTTAAAAAATTTAAACATCAAAAATTGAACTTATACGTTAGCACACTTTTCAGATAGAAAAAAAAGGATATCCTGGATTCTGTACAGACGAAAACATTGTAACTATCCATTTATAGTAATATAGAGAGGGAAAAAACAGATGTTAGTTCCACATTTTATTGAAAATATATTTCGGTCTAGGTGTTGACCCTCGTCAGTTCTTAAAATTGTTTCTGTCATGAAGATTATAAACAAAGCTACCCCTTAAAACTTTATATGATGAAGAATGCTTTAGATATCTCACATCTTCCTTCTAAAAATGTACTTTTTTCAATTGTGGTTTTCCATAAAATGACTTGCGTATTTCTGCTTTACAGACAATAGAAAAAATTGTCGGAATTAAACACTTTCAAGCTAGTTAAACGACAATATCTTCCAAGTTATAAATCAAATAAAGGTTTTAAGGGACCGATGTGAATCTGACAAGGTCACTTGATATTTCAACGACAGCTACTAGATTCAGACAAAGGTTTTAAAGGGAGTATTCGCGAAAAAATAAAGGGGGTATTTTTTATTTATTTTAAAGTCAAAAAAAAAATTTATGTGATAGTTGCATTTTGAAACCTTTCATTCCTGTTAGAGAATTTTTAATAATGAAGACGACATTTTCACATTTTCCAGGAATTTTCGAAAATCCAGCACCAGCGAAATATTATTTTAAATGACCAAAATCAAAAATATTATAAAATATCAACTATATACAAATGCGTCGAAAAATAATCGATGACTATTAAGGTTATAATATCTAAATGATTTGTTTGAAATTAAATTGATTATTTTACGATCCGAGTTGAATATTGCAACTTTTTGAATTTGTATGGGCGCTACGTTCTTCAGTATGAAATTAACAATTTTCTCCTTATAGCCGCAACAGATAGAATAAGGATTAGTAGCGATCAAAAGCGCTTAATTTGGTCGTAAGCCTATTCCCCCTTTCATTTTACGCGAACGCTTTCTTTAAAGGTATGGTGCTGTTGTGAGTAGGATACAAATAATAGATCTCTTTAAGTTTCGTCCCCCTTAAGTCCCTCAACAGAATTTTCCTTCGTTAAAACTGCTTGTTTACCTTGAAATTGATCGATTGGATTTGCTTGGTGAGCTGGGTCTAGAATCAGAAAGGTTTAGACTCAATCTACTTTTCGACCTGGGGAATAAAGATATGAATTGATATCTTATATTTTAACATTTTAATCTATGTATATACTATATACTGGCCAAATTTTTTTAAAATCAACTAACTCTTCACTTTAAACACTGATTTGTTAAACCCTTGATCTTTGCAACCTTAAACATTGTGAAAACCTGAAATATTTCAAACTTTTCGATCTTGGAATTGAGTATTTGCCATGCATACCCTGATATTCTATTATACCTATATCTCTGGCAGCTCAATGTGAAGTAGACCTTATATATTTCAAACTATAAATACTGTTAGAATGAAAAATCTATGTTTGGAAAGGGGTAAGAAAAATAATTTTATTGCTTTGACTCAATTTCTTTCTAGTTTGAATAATATGGTCTACAAGACTTTAACATCATGTTGCAAAGATTTAATAATCACAATTTTACAGTTTCAGCTCCCTTTCCAACCATATCAATATCTTGTAAATTTCTTGTAAATTTCAAACTATATCGATATCTTGTAAATTTCTTGTAAATTTCCAACCATATCAATATCTTGTAAATTTCTTGTAAATTTCAAACCATTTCAATATCTTGTAAATATCTTGTAAATTTCAAACCATATCAATATCTTGTAAATTTCTTGTAAATTTCAAACAATATCGATATCTTGTAAATTTCTTGTAAATTTCAAACAATATCGATATCTTGTAAATTTCTTGTAAATTTCCAACCATATTGATATCTTGTAAATTTCTTGTAAATTTTCAACCATATCGATATCTTGTAAATTTCTTGTAAATTTCCAACCATATCAATATCTTGTAAATTTCTTGTAAATTTCAAACCATTTCAATATCCTGTAAATTTCTTGTAAATTTCCAACCATATCAATATCTTGTAAATTTCCTGTAAATTTCCAACCATATCAATATCTTGTAAATTTCTTGTAAATTTCAAACCATCTCAATATTTTGTAAATATCTTGCTGAATAAATCGATGATTTCTGCCTGTTTATTAAGTAGTTTACTGTTATTTTTAAATAACAAATTCAGTTAGTATTAGACTGATAACTCACTTAGATCCAGGCTGCTATGAAAAGTTTCTTCTATTTACAAGACTGGGTCGATTGTAAAGTGTCACAACGCCTCGGCCTTTGATTTTATATCAATAACTTACTTATACTTTAATGTAGCCCTAGACATTTAAATTTTAGAACTGTAAAGTAATGTTTTCAGCCTTATTTGTAATTGGCAAAACTCGCATCGATTATTTTTGTGTTAGAGTCTGCAACCTTTGAATATTCATATGAAATAATATGAAATATTCATTTGGTGCACACAAATAATTTCCCCTTTTATTTCAATCAGGGTGAAAAAAATAAAAGAACATAGATAATCATTAAATTTTCTTCCTCATTTACTTTATCTTTTTTTTAATAAATCAATATATCGTTGATTAAATAAAGCCTCTTGGTTTAAATAAACAAGAAGCCATAATTATAGATTCTTTAAAATGAATTTAATGTAATTATTCAATACTATAAATATTTTTTAAAAGATTGATTTATGATTCTTCAATATGAAATTGTTATTGACATTTTTAATTTGTTTGAATAAAAATTTAAACTTTTGCACGCAATTAAAGAATAAATCAATTTTCAGAAACATCCGGTTACGTTTAGAGAAATTTGAATATTTTTTGTTCTCCTCAATAGCTCTTCAGAACGAAAATTTATGATTAGAGTATCCAAAAACAAAACGTTTATCAAAAAAATGCGAAAATTTTCGTTCGTATTTAGCAAACGCATTTGCGAAATTTTGCATTTTTTCGCGAAAATTAATAAAGCGAAAACGAAGCGAAAAATCCCGGAAATATGTTAGCAAAAATATTTTCGCAAACATTTATTCGCGAAATTACATTCTCGAAATTTTGTCATTTTTGATGAGTTTTCGCAAAAATTTTGCATTCTTCTTTGTATAGGTATGAAGAAGGACGAATTTCTATCTTATTATAACGAAATGCAATTTTTATTACCAATTTGTCACTTTTTTGTTGTTACCAATTTGTCATTACCAAATTGTCACTTTTGTGAGCTTACCAAATTGTCATTACCAAATTGTCGTTACCAAATTGTCACCTTACCAAATTGCTGTTACCAAATTTTCATTACCAAAAATCCGCCCATCTTTTAAATTATTCCTTTAACACAATCAAAACAATAAAACTTTTAAATTAGCCAATCTCTTGATGAATAAAAAGATAATTTATCTTCTTGAAGTATAGGTTATATTGTTTAAAGTAAAAACTTTTTTGTAAGACTATAAAACCTATATCAGAGGATAACGATATTTTTTTAACAAAAAAAAATGCATGTTTCAAAATGTTATTTTGGTTGTATTTAAGATTGAAGAATCTCGTGGTGTTTAATCCAGGGGTGGACATTATCAGCCCCCCCCCCCTAGTGTTTAATCCAGGGGTGGACATTATCAGCCCCCCCCCTAGTGTTTAATCCAGGGAATTGTGATATAGTTTTTGAATCAAACGACAAAATGCAGGAAAAATAAATTTTTCCCTTATTTTTCTCACATTTTTCAGACATTTTTCCAACAACTTTGTGATAAGTCCATATGGGGTGTCTAAACTCACTAACTTTGGGACAGTAAAGTCAATTCTGGACTCTATATTGCATTTTCCTCTCTCCTTATACCATTCCCCCCACGCTTTTTCCGCATATTTCCCCTCCTAAAGGTCTTAGAAGCCTTCCTACTTTAATACTATGAGTTTTCTCTCTGATTTTTGCATGCAGAGCTGAATTTTGATCTGGTTTTGATTCAAACAGCATCCCCCCCCCTCCCTCGGGTTTTCCGGAGTTTAAATAAATTTTATAATGAAAAATTTTATCTTATCATATCGATGTTTTACTTTGACTTTTTTTAGAATACCTGTTTGGAAGTGCTAAAGATTTGTGAGATAGTTCTTCAACGGAAGAGAAAGAATCGGAGATATGAAGATTTCTGCTCGGTTCCTCCAACTCCCAAACATCCATCGGAGTACTTGGGACGGAGAAGTTTTGGAAATTAATCTTTGGAGGTTTCATCTTTGCTCTGGGTAGGCTGCTGTATAGGAGGCCCTCACGAGCAAACATATTCTTTTTAGGTATCAGTAGGGTGTTAGGGCGACTAGGACCTAAATCAGGGATCAAGCAATCATTTTCAAATATATTTTGCCGATCTGGTGAGAACCTTCTGGCAAGATGGAGGTTTTGTTACAATGCTCACTACATAGGATAGGTTATATGGACGGTTCGGGCTTGCTAAAATATTTTACAAAAATAAAAATATATTTTTTACATTTTTCCAAGCCTTACTCTGACCCCCCCCCCCCTCCCAGTCCCATCCTGTTTATGTTTATAATTCAGGAGTACACAACTATAATTGGATATCAAGAATTGAAAATCAAGGTTTCAAAGAATAAACAAACTGTATTTAAAAAAGAAAGAAAAAAATGTTGATTCTTCAGCAAAAAACTGGTCCCATAAAATTTGTAAAAAGGAATAATTGAATTGATTCCCTATACTCCATACCTGCGCTGTTCTCCCTGGAGTCCCTGCTGGGTGACTCTCTGGAGTCCAGGGTGGACCTGGACCCGTACTCCGGGGAGGAGGAGGAGCATATTGTTCCCGCCCTCCACTGCTGATTCTGTACAGGGAACTCCATTTCAAAATATAAATCTTCATCCCTATCTTCATTCTTTCTCTTCTCTTCATCTTCTATTTCTTCTCTTTTATTCATTTTCTTCTTTCTTTCTTTCTTTCTTTCTTTCTTTCTTTCTTTCTTTCTTTCTTTCTTTCTTTCTTTCTTTCTTTCTTTCTTTCTAGCTAGCTAGCTAGCTAGTTAGCTAACTAGCTCAGATGTACTTTTCACTATGATCAGTCAAATTCTACACATACCCGATGGAATTAGGATCACTTTGAAATTTACTTTCTACGTCTTCAAAACAACATACAAAACCAGAGCGTTCTGTACTTTTAACGTTACTCCGTAAATTAAATATAACTGATTGATCTGTATCAATAATATAATAATAAATATATATCCATATGTATACTAGGATAAGAAGCGTGTGTGTGCCTTTAGAGGCTGATTGCTTTTACAAGACTGAGAGGCTAACGTCATTATACGAACCTTTGCAAACATTATCACAACACAGAAATCAGAATATGTTCAGTAAGGAACTGAGTCTTTGCCACAAACTCAAATTATATATCAAACTATTTAACTTTAAGCGGTGTACACTTTTCATATTTTAAACTTACAGAATTGATAGTTTTAAATAGGTCTATTACACGGGGTAGCAAAGATATAGGGTTTAGAAAATCAGAGTTGGTGGCCAAAACTAACGGTACATAATATTTAGCTTTTTTATATAGAATTGTTATGGTTTTGGAATTCCGAAAACGAAACGGTCTTTCTTTTAATATTTACAGAGTGTAAAGCGACGTAAAAAACGGCCCACTCTCGAGTTCAATATAAGAATACTATCAGCTAGTATCACCTTGTCATGATTCTGCTGGGTTGATTGTAACCCAGATCCCTTTCTACCCTTTTCATTCGCTCAGAGTAAATACAAGAAATCTGTTTCCGTCGTTCAATCTAGATTATCTTTATTCAAATGTAATAAACTAAACTATATTTTAAATACAATAGGAATAAAAATAACAATGTACAATCTTAGTATAGACCCCGTCCTTCTGTTTTTATAGACTAAACTCGTGACAATCCTCAGATTTATTTATCAAGTCAAATCGTTTTTAAATTATTTAAATTGCAATTTTACTAAAAGGAAACGACTCGGATATATGTTTCTCATTCTAAGGGTTTAGTCCGGAGAAAGGGTTTAGTCACACAGCACACATGAGCCCAAAACTTAAGACAGGGTATCGTTATGAAAACCAGTTTTAAACCACGGGTTTCACGAATGGGGTTAGGCAGTTTTGTGAATATTAATATTTTTGTTATGAAATATTTTTTTTCAGTCTGTTTATATTCTCCATTTTTTTAATCTCTTAAATCAAAATCTACATAAATGTTAAGACTCCGTCTTTAATCCAGGGGCATTCCATCAACAGACCAGAAATTCCAGGGGCGTTTCTTTAAATAGATCGGGACCATTTGATTGTGAAACACAGAGTTACCGACACATGATGAGACTTCAATGGAGATTGTACGAATTTTATTCTACGATTCTATTTTATTATATATTTAAAGTTGTTACGGGTCTTTATGAAATTCTCATACTGGAAATCTTTCTCTGCATGTAATTCTTTTTAATTTAATTATGTCTGTAATCTTAATCCTGACTTGATCAGAGAAAATCCTAATTTAATCTTTTATACAATCGCAGCACAACATTATGCTTTTGATTTCTTCACAAGTATTTAGATCATGTAAGATAATCTAGCTTGGCTGTAAATTGTAATATGAGGAAGCAAGGATTTATCAATTATGAATAAAAAGTTTATTGATAACAATCAAAGTAAAGGGTGTTGAAAAAGAAACACTTCTGCACACTTTGTTCTATCAGAGGATTCATATGTTACAAGAACATACTGAAATTAATATCACCATGACGTCAACTCTGCTCTGAAAAAAGGCTCATTATCTCTTGGGGATTTGATCAGCCTTATACGCAGGAGTTCCTTTTCCTACATTATTCTGCTTCAGTTGCAGGGGCGGATGCAGGATTTAAGTGAGGGGGGTGCTAGATTTATTTCGGAACAAAAAATCCAGATTTAGGAACCAAAAGACACACCGAAGGCGATATATTTTTTACTTTTCTGTTTTGCACTAGGTTTTCGTTTCCTTAAGTGCTATTGAGAGGCTATTCTGAAATCTTAGGGGGATGCTAAGGTCCTGCCGCCCCCCCCCCTGTATCCGCCCTTGTTCGGTTGATAGAGATTTTTACATTTCTTTATTTAAACCTACTATTTACTATGCCCAAATTTTTTGTTCGTAAGTGTTTGCAAAAAAACTAAAGGTGGATTAAGGTTATAGGTTAAACTGGGATTAAGGTTATAGGTTAATGTAGAAATAATTGAATTTGATATAGATCTCTCCTAATTTGACTTTTATCTGTTGCAAGGAAAAAATTGTTGCATTATTCCACTCATGTAAATAATTCAATAAAATTTAAAATAATTCAATTCGATGCATTTGTATACAGTTAATGTATCATAATATTTTTTTTATTTTGTTTTTTATTTAATATTTTGTTAAAACCTTATTTTCATGACTAGCGCTGGATTTTTGAACATTCTTGGAATTAACGGAAAATGTTATCGATATTATCAAAAATCCTCGAAATTTTACAAATGTAACACTCGGATCACATAAAATGAAAAATATTATAAAATATCAACTATATACGAATGTATCGAAGTGAATTCGACAATTGTAGGTTGTAATATCTAAATGAGTAGTATTTAAATTTAATTAATTAATTACAACCTGAATAATGCAACTCCCTCAGTTTGTATGGACGCTACGCTCTTGGGTATAGAACGAGTTTAACCATTTTCTTCTTGTAGACAGTAAGTAAAATTAGTGGTGGTCATTATCGAATTCAATTCAATATCAGCCTATACCCCCCTTCCATTTTTCGGAAACACTTCCTTTAACAATCATTATTTAATTGCCCGGCCCTCGACCCAAAGCCCCTGCAAAATAAATTTAATCTTAATTTATTTTTTCCGTTTAAGTAAAAATTTATTTTGAATTCTGTCTGTGAGAACGTTATGAAAATCGTCTTCCAATAAGGGTTTCCAGCGGAAATTGTTTATTTCGCCAAAAGTATAACGCTTGCTTCCGCGAAATCTATTCTGGCGCAAAAATTTGCGGAATAAGAATGCAAATTTGTGCACTTTTAAGCATTTTGGCGCGAACGTTGGTTTCCACTGGATCAACCCTACTTCCACTCAAAACATATGCATGGAAACCAAATAGACAATAGTAAAGTCCCTCTCAGTGTATAGAGTGGATTGCCAGATTCACAAAACTAATACCCTTTGTTTTAAACACTTTTCAGGCTACAAAAAAAAACGAAGGTATCTTCCCACAAAATTTGATCAGAGCTGGGAACTTTTGAATGGTGGATATCGGGATTAATGCTTGATCTCCTCTTTTTCTTAATCTCGAGATTAAATAATGCTTGTTCTCCTCATGTTATTAATCTCCAGATTAATTAACCGATGGGGATTAAGGATATTCCATTCTAAAGTTTTCAGCTCAGATTTTGTAAAATTTAGAATGGGAATCAATTGGAGGGTCACATAAAGATATCAGTTAATTCAATCCCTTCCCTTCCCATAATGTATTGGCCATCTGGTTTACTTCTTAAACACACTCTGTAACTGTAGTTTCAAGTGACCTTTAAAGCAAAGATGGCACATGCCCTATTCATAAAGGTACCCAATTGAAACCTTCATCCTGCAATATAATTATTCATGGACACCCTGCAAAATAATTATTCATGGACACCCTGCAATATAATTATTGATAGACACCCTGCAATATAATTATTACTTTATCAGTTTTTATGGATACTGTTTTTAATCGACAATTGCCATCTGTGAATGGAGGGTCATACAGATGCGTATACAGATACTTTTTAAGTTTGAATGCTATCATAGTGAACAGCTGTCATAAAGAATGAAATTCAATTTCCATGGAAACAAAAATCAGCTGTTCTCAAATTACAGATGTGTCATAAAAGATATTTAAAATAAAAGACTATATTATTAGGAATTTATTTCACTATTCAGAAAATATTCCCAACACAAATTCCTTTTTTAAAACTTTTCAATTTGAAGACGACTTTATAAAGATTTATAGTTTACAAGGATTCTTTCCTATAAATTATATGGAATAATTGAGCGTTCGCGTCGCAAGGAATTTATCTTTTACACTGATTTCTCAGGCGTACAGGAACTATAAGACTCGATAATTAGTTCATATACGTCCAAAGGGTCGTCGTTAACGATCGTCAATGACGGGTCGTCGTCAACGAACTCCATAACAAGGTACTGTTGCTTACAAATTGAAAAATACGACTTCGCTTTTTAAATTCAAAAAATATCCTTTTAAAACCTATATTTTATTTTTCAATTTTCCCACGTCGTTAAACAAAAACAAACAATCAATTTCCGAATTTAAAGAATTTAGCGGCTTAAATTTGAGACACGGCTCAAATATTGTTGGTTCCACTTAAACTCGTATTCAATGTTTCAAGATTTAATCCGGCACTCAATTGAAGCTAGTTTTGAGCGGACTTGTGATGCGGCTCAAATTCATTAAATTCGGACTCAGTTCGTTTTTCAGAAAAGTTAAACGTGTCATCCCTGACATGATAAGGATAAATTGTGATTTATCTCATTCATAAATTTATGATAATATAATAATATAATATAAAAATAAGCATGGGTCAGCTAGCTGTTTAACACATTTGTAATTGAGAGGTTATTGAAGAAACAAAACAAAAAACGAATCTATTGCTTAGATCAAATATATAATAAATCTAACTTCAAGTCAAATAACTGATAATTTAAAAGGGTCTATTTTTTTCAAGGCAAATTTTGAAAATGAAGAAGTGAGATATATTTATAACATTAAATTAAATATTTAATTGTTTTTTACATCTAAAGGGTTTTTATTATTGTCCAATTTTACCCTTAAAGAAAACGATTCATTATTTATTTTTTGTTTCGTAAACATACTATATGAAAGCTAAGAATTGA